TGGGTAAGGCGACCTTTGGTGGCCGATGGCGGCCCCGCTGAAGAGACACGGCAGCTTGGCGGCTAGGTGAGTGACACCTTCAATTCCTAGGTCTCAGTTCGCGTCGGACATTCAAGTCGCTATTTGGGCACCTCAGTCTTATTCGTCTGAGACTTTCTTGTTGTTTCCAGTTGCCCCTTCTCTCGATCCTGGCTTATTGCGCCAAGCCAAAATTCGAAATGATCTGCCGTACTGACAGAGCTGCAGCATTGTGTTATTTGTTTGCACCGCCTGGATAACATCACGATATAATAGCAGTGCCGCCTTTGGTAAGTCAACCCCCCCTGTGCAACACTGTATTTTGCAACTTCTGTTAACATTATCTTTCTCCTAAATAGAGAGACCGATCCATTTCTCAATCCTGACTCTCCTCGAATCCGGTCTTGCTATCGCAGCATGGGCAAAGTGGCAGTCTCCAGACCAAGGCTCCCACGATCAAGGCTACCAACTCGCGACCTTTTCCTCGTCTAGCCCTCACTGGAAACGACGCATCCAGGCCAGCATAGATTTTGTACGGAATCGACATCTCCTTTCGTCGCCGTCGATACCACTCGGAATCGCCATCGTCCTGCGCACTCTTCTCTTCTGGCGTACGATTCGCACGATCCACTGTTCCTGGGAAAGCTTCGAGGTATGAAACTGATGATCGTCAACTCTTAATGCGCACCGAGTCCATAGCACTAACAACTACGTCACCCAGACCTTTCTCCCGGTCTTTATCACCCTGTATTTGGTCGCATCGCCCACTGCCATCAGCCTTCAACAGCCACTCGGCGACCAGACCCGCTCCCGACGCTGCTTCAGCGCGCCTCACCTTCGCTACCTGTTCATCGCCGTCGTCTGGGCCTGCGCCGCGAGGTCTACGCTCGCTCTGTCAACACAGTCCGCTGGCGCAATCTGCCCGCCGGGTCCCCTCCGCTGGGAACGACAGATACCATTAGCTCAGATCGTGACCGTCGCGCTCGACGCCTTCCTGCTAGTCCGCCTCTCGAGATGGCGACAAGAGACGGCAGAGGATGCGCCGCAGGCCTGGGCATTTACCTCGCGTTTGTTCCTGGGGTCGGCGGGCGTGTTAGCCATCCTCGCTTGTTTCTCATTTTATAACCTGCGCAACATCAGATGGGCGTTCGTACTACACTACGTTGCCGTTCGAGATTTGGTGGTGGATAGCACTGTGGCCTCCGTCGCGATCCTCTCGGGGTTCCACGTTATGAAGGATCTTCACCCAAGTACATTGGCCCTGGTCACAACGGCTTCTGGCGTCTACGCGCATCAGATCTTCCGCATGCTTCAGACGTCTGCACCAGTGGACGACTCCCTCCTTTACATGATTTCCGGAGGAGTCACCATTGCAGGAGTCGGGCTTCTGCTTCGCTACGACAAGGACATCTCGGGCATGTCAGGGTCTGGCGCCGACCACCGCCTGGTGAGGTTTTTGACAGGTTGGTACGTTGTTCTTGTAGGGTTTCTGTGCGGCACATATCTCGTCTTCTACCCCGACTTCGCCTCCATCGACACCCTTTCTCTCCCGGATCTGTTGTCGGTCGAACACGCCAAGTCGGACAACTGGATAGTACAGGCAAATCAAAGCAGAACGTTGGATGAAGCAGTCCGAAACTACCGCATTCGCTACGGCATGCCGCCCCCGCCAAACTTTGACAAATGGTTCGAGTACGCCGTGGAAAACGGGTCCCCCATCATCGACGACTTTACTCAAATTAACGACGACCTGTTGCCATTCTGGGGCGTACAGCCAGAGGTTCTCAGACAGAGGACGAGCCACGCTCTCGCGCTGCCATGGCTCGGCATGGGCGGTCTTCGCATCCGTGGAGGCAAGATAGACATCTCCCCCGGCACCCCTGGATCACACATGTGGATGATGGAGTCGATGCAGGAAATGATTGAGCCGTTTGCGCAACATCTCCCCGACATGGACTTTGCAATCAATCTCAACGACGAGTGCCGCGTCGCCATCCCTTTTGAAGACACTCAGGCCCTACAAAACGACGGCCTTGACTTGAGAGCCAGATTGCTCAGCAACCCAGCACTCAAGCCATTCGACGCCTCGAGACAACTCTGGCCCAACAACGACACTGTTCTCGGCCCCAAGGTCAAGTCACCTTACTTTGCAGACCACATCCGCGACGAGATCTACTACGACTTCATCGCCCCGGCCTGTCCCCCAGACTCGCCCGCGCGCAACACCCGCTGGTGGTCCCGCCGCGAATCCTGCCGCGACTGCCTCCTTCCGCACGCCGTCCGCGTCTACGAAAACGGGCTGGAGAACTACCCCGTGGTGTCCAACTGGACCGCTGCCACCGACCTCTGCCACCAGCCCGACTTGGCCTATCTCCACGGATTCCTGCTTTCGCCCGCCGCGGCGATATTTACGAAGGCGCCGTTTCCGGTGTTCAGCCAGAGCAAGACGTCCGGGTTCGCGGACATTCTGATTCCCTCGCCGTGGAACTTTGACGACAAGGCGGGATACGACGAGGAGTCGGACGTCGCGTTCGAGAACAAGGAGAATGTCATGTTTTGGAGGGGGAGTGCTACGGACGGCTACGCTGCCAGGGGTTCGTGGCAGAGCTTCCTACGAGCGAGGTTCGTCGCGGCTGCAAACATGTGGGAGAACGCATGGACGATGTCGTCCGCTACCGCCGTCGAGGGAGAGGTCGTGAGATCAGACGCCGGGCCGCGGTTTGACGTCGGCTTTGTTGGGGAGTGGAGGAAGTGCCACGAGGGCGACTGCGACGCCGAGAGGGACACCTTCTGGGACGGCCATGACGAGCCGACGAAGAACAAGGTCAAGTTCCAGGAGCACTGGAAGTACGCCCACCTCATGGACCTCGACGGTGCGGGATTCAGCGGGCGATTCATACCGTTTTTGCGGAGCAAGAGTCTCGTCTACCGGAGCGGCGTCTTCCGCACCTGGCTTGCGGAGCGGGTGCACGCGTGGCGGCACTACGTCCCCGTGGACGTGCGGCTCCACGAGCTGAAGGGGCTGCTGTGGTTTTTCGGGGTCGACTACGAGGGCAAGATCCGGGCGGCGCAGATTGCGGAGGAGGGCAGACTTTGGGCGGCGCAGGCGTTGCGCAAGGAGGATATGAGGATTTACATGTTTCGGTTGCTGCTGGAATGGGGACGGTTGGTGGACGATGGGAGGGAGGAGCTTGGGTTTGCGTGATTTGATACCCCCTTCTCCGTTTGTGCGGCAGCATTTGCATGGTTTTGGAAAGCATTGGACATGGCGTTGGGTTATGGATGGGAAGGACGGTTCATGAAAAGAACCCCATTGACGATGGGATACGATTTGTGTAGGCACTTCAGATAATAGGACATGATAAGTTCAGCATCTTGGCTATTCTTTTACACGAGACACCCTCGACGATGTGACACTCCTCTCACACAACGACTGCCACTTTCACTGGTATGTATAGTGATGGCCAGCTCTAGACCATCGGTTCGTCTACTTATCTCACATCGCCACGGCCTCACCGTTCAGTTGATCGCCACACTGAAACTTTCATGCAGTTGAGGAAGGCAAACACGGTGATATGCAACTTCTTCAGTGCAGGGCGGAGATCATCGCACCGGTTTTGGATGACTCGGATCATCAACCGAAATCAGTCTTCCCTTGCCTCGGGGCTGCCTGAAGGGGCGGGGTTGCTGAGACATGATGTCTCTCTTTCCGCAGCGGCCGCGGTCGTCTGCTCCGGCGGCCGCGGAATGATAATGCAGGCAACAGCTTCGAGCCATCAAGTACTTGTAGCTGGGGGGAGAGGAAGGATTGCTGATTTTTTGGGTGAGTTTCCTGTAAGCTGCTCTGGCCCATTGGATGAAATCTGACATCTTCCTACGGCGATGGTGAGGCCCAGAACTCTTCGTCGTGTATGGTGCATGCGTTGAGAAAGCTCTCGTCAAGGTGACCAGCCACGGTCCATAGGAGGGCTGTCATTTTCTTTGAAGTTGTCATCACGCCTCGGCAGGAAGTAAATGTTGGCGATCAGTCTCGGCATCTTCAATACCAAAGCAGGGAAACCTCTACTGACTTCGACTGTGCGCTTATAGGGCTGGAGTGAAATACATAAGAAACACGAAAGTGATCACGGACAAGGGAAACCGGTGGGTCTGGCTGACCCCCAGGGCTGCAATCTGATGATGCCTACAGCTATATCATCAAATCATTGACTGTAAAACATGGATGTTGTTGCTGATGCTGTCAGCGTAACCTTGGGATCACGGTATCAAGTCACATCATCTCGGTGGACGATAAGCCCATCTCAATGGTTTGTAACCTCTATAATTGCGGGTCACTTCCAAATGCAGAAAGAAGACAGTCTTTCATTTCTCATGGACTTGTGCAAGAGAACGAGGCGGGGAACATGGTCCCACGACACAGCTAGGCATGGTTGACGGACATTGAAGAAGGTATCAAGTTAGGGATGGGGCCTTTTAGCCCAGCAAAACCGTTTCATTCTCCACACAGGTTGGGCAAGACTCTGTTTGATGCCGTTGGCGAATGAACATAGTCAACAGTATGAGAATGTCTCCGTTCTGTGTTGAGAACGACACATACACCGAGGCCAATCACCGATGAGACACCGAGTCTCGTCTGCCTACTCACGAGAGCTACGGCGTCTATTAAACCTTCGAGACGCACAATCCATGAACGGAAGGACGCGAGATGGTCAGCCATTTCATGCATGCGAGGCGGTCAACGCTACGTCGTCCCGTCTTGTGGCTGCCGCTGGAGTGCAGCACGCCAGGCGGTCAATTAATAGGGGCGCGCCTGAAGGCGCCCACATTAGACGAAAACCAACTAACAATGCCAAAAAACCATAGCGGCGTTTGTTTGCTCGGTATTCGTTCGGTGTCGGAACCGAACTGCTTCCTGCAAAGCCCTGATCGTGGCGAACAAAAGACGGCTAACGAGTAGAGTCATTGAGGCCCAATGCTGGTAGTCACAGGCACGACAACTGGTTCTGTCCGAGCCTGATCTGACCATCTGGATGGAGTGAGATAAACTTTCCAGCCTCATTGACAGCAGCCAGGTGTTGTCGGCTGAAAGCTTTAAGCTGGTCTAGCCGCAGGAACCTCAAGCGTGGCTGGCTGATGGTCGCTGGTGTCTTGTCGAGGCGCCCCTCAGCAACAACTTACTGTGCGAAGCCTCAGCATGTGCTTACCATGCAGTCTCGCAAGTTCTGCCTCCAAGCGTGCAGAGCGGCGCAGGTCACAAGCTGGTAAACCCTGCCAGAGCGAGCGATCAACGATCGACTGTCTGATGCGTCAACCATAGGGCGACTTGCCGAGACGGGGACGTATCAGCGGCATGCCAATGTTCCCCTTCCCTGATTTCGTGGAGAAGAACATGAAGCCAAGTGCTAGCAGGGGACGACCGGTAGTGTTGTAACCATGAGGCGAGGCGGTTTGGTAGTGTGTTCCGTGTGTCTGTCACTAACATTGCCCTCCAACAAAGGCCCTAAATCACATGTAAGTGAGCCTCTCGTGGGTGAGAGGGGCTCGGCCTCGGAAACAGCAGGAAGTATCGGCGAACCACATTGGTCCGAGTGGGCTAGACGTGCGTGGTTGTCATTGAAGAGGAGGGCAGCAGCGATTTCAGGTTTGCTGCCCTCATCGGTCGTGGCATCGGGGATCCCAAAATCCTATAGGCGTAGTCGCCCTAGGCGCCTCTCGTGCCGCTCACATTACGGATGTTTGCCCAGGCTGGGACAACGGAGTAAAGGTCGACGAATTCCCATGTGAAGGTTGCAAGCTGGGGGGCCAAGCGCAGGACCTTCGTAAAGCTGGCGTGTGTTCTTCGCTGGCCTCCTCGTCCCCTGTTCGTGGAATTGAGTGCATTGGGATTGGCCATCGATATGAAGGTCTCAGCTTCTGGGTCAGCAGTACGAATGCCGGAGAACCCCACGATGAACTGACTGCATTGTTCAAAAGTCGTATCTATGGAGCTCTGATGGGTTTTGATGTGGAAAAAAAAAAAAAAAAAAAAAAAGTAGTAATCGTGATGAGAAGGCGTATGGCCTGTCCTGAGCTTCCCGAAGAACATATCCTTGGTGGGCGGGGCAAGTGGGATCCGGTTGGCACAGACCAGGTAAGGTACTCGTCCTTCAGATGTTCGGAGTGGGGGAGAGAGAGGTACGTACCTGCGAGGCCCTGGTGGTGACAAGGCCGGCCCTGGCCAGCAACCATCTCAACAAAATTCGAACCCCCAACAGAAAATTTCGAGAGGCAGGAAAGGGTCGAAAATAAGGAGACTGAACGATCACCACGCTGTACTGCGTAGAAGCGAGGTAGGCAAAATTGGACCCTAGGAATGCCACAAGCTTCCAGAAGACAGCGTCCCACAGTGTTTCAGGGTCTCTGCTGTCTTTTGGTCTTGTTCTTCTTGGTGCCTTCAAATCGACTCGACCCGAAGGCCGTTTCATCCAGTGTCTCGCGGTTTCGCCCGAGTGGAATGCATTCGCCCCTTCTCCTTCTCTTGCCTAAATTCGCCTTCTGCTTTTTTCCCCATTTGGGTGTGAAAATTCGTCGAGATTGCAGTTCAGTGCACACTTTGGCATCTGACAACTTGTCCGTCGTTGAATGTTGGCGAAGGGCGGGCGTCAATTCAAGATTCACCTTTCCCCAGCGGGGCACCCCTGATTGGTCCATCGTGTCAGCCGTATATTCCTCTCCCGATTGGCTGCTGTGTTTCTGGGAAGACGGGTGGGCTCTCTGTCCAATCGAATGGCTTGAGTCTGTCGTGGCTGTCCTGATTCCGCTGGTTCGTGGGGTTGAGACAGAGCGTGAGCCACTGGCGTTGCGTGCAGCGAGATACGTACCCGCCTTGTCTTTTCCCCTCCAACCCCTGTGTGCTCCTCTCCCCCCTCTTCGACTGGGAGCGTGGGGAACCCAGGTACGTACTCGTCATCCTGTACCGCGACTTCGAGGCAGGATCGATCTTTCCCCCAATGATCCTGAATGCTGCCAACGCGATGGAATCCAACGCTTTTGCCCATGTCCGATGCGGCGCAGAGGGCCTTCTCCGCCATATACATATCGAGCCTCACCCCAGAGGCAGGCCACATTGCTCTAAAATCTCCTGACGTCAGGTTCTTCGGAGAGAATCGGCGGGACGACTAATGGCAGTGAGTGCGAACAAGCCAGGCCCTGGAAATGAACACCATCGAGTGCGGCGCGAGCTAGTACCGACTGACAAGCGTCCGCCGATCTGACTCGCTTTCGACAACGCTACAGTAGCGACGGCGGCGCCTGGGAGATCTGGATCTCGCCTCAAGCAAGCAAGCGCCGTCTTCACATGCGCATACACTGACAGCGAGGACGAGCTGCGCGTGGTGCGGCGGTGGTTGATGCAACGCGGGTTGGACACTGGGGTGACGGATGACCCGTCCACTGTTGTGGCTGTTGCACTGCGAGAAACAGAGCCAATTGACTTGAGCAGATTGCCCTGCCTGCCCAGAGACACGACGTCAGCAAGCACTGTCCTGACACGGCAGATAGGTAGCACAGCTGAACGGGAGCGGCGATATCTCGTGCAGCGGGGACGGCACGGCAGGTCAGGCTTGGGCTGGTAATGTCTTGAAGACACCGCCAAGATGCAAGTCCTCTGGAATGGATGCAGCAGGCCCGGGTTGCCGATGTCTCTTGAGAGCCGGGGCCTGCCATTGACGAGCTCGGATCGACAAAGCTTGGGAATGGAGGCGAGATGGTCGTCGTCGTCGTCGTCGTCGTCGTTCAGACCATCAAGTGTTCAGACATTGAAAGTACCATGGCATCGACGAATATGCCCACGAAGGGAATGTCTCGACAGATGGGCGAATCAAGTTATGCCACCGCTGGCAGTACTGTTGGGTCCGGGAGGCAACGTGGAGGCTCAGGCAGAGTGTCTGAAAGGCGGTGAAGTTGAACCATGGCTCCTGTGGATCAGACGAAAGGTGAGAGAGTATGCATTAGGGCGACATTGGCGGTCGAAGCAAATGCATTTTACGTTGTCAGTGTGTTTTTCTGAGGATCTGAAGCTGCGTTTTCCAGGGAAGTCACAGCCGAGGGCCGCTTCGCGCAGGAAGGCAGGCAAGATGCAGGTGCAGGTGTAGGTGCAGGTGCAGGTGAATGTACTTCCTGCCGTTCGAACATCAAAGTACAAATACAAGTACCGGTGCCAATGGTGGGGTCGCAGGGAAGGTAGTGTACCTTGTATGTTTGGCGAGGGGAGGCTTCCTGGGCTGGTTGCCATGTTCCACCCCTCACCACCAATCTGCCTGGTTTGGAGGCTTGCAGGCTGGCTGGCAAGCCGCAAGGCAAGCAGCAGGCTGGGTTCCCTGCACCACCGCGTGTCCTGCGTGCCTGTGCCTGTCTCGAGTTGCAGTGGTTTCAATGGCCACCTGCTAATTTGCCTCCCAAGGCCGGGGGTCGGTGTGCTGGAACTTGACCCTGATGTGAGAACTAAGCGGTGGCCACAGCGGAGCTCGTTAGCGATGATCGAGACCTGGCTGATAAGAAGATCCCTTTCTCAGGCGTCTCGGTGTGCCCTGCTGTGAATCGAAGTCGCCATGGCCGTGTCTGTGCAGCAATGCAGAAGGAGTCTGGAATGGCGGAAGAACAAGCAGGGGCGGCCGAGCACATCTGGCAGAGGCAGTGGCAGGGACGAACTGAGCAGCACCTGCTTCCTTCACTCCTGCCTTGACGTACCTTACCTCAGTTTTCCCTAAAAGGTACTTCGTAGATGCGACGCTAGAAGCAGGTACGTATCCAACCAAGACCCTTCAGACCGCCGACTTCGTCCCAAAAATATTTTTGAGCCCATCTCTCTTTTTGCCTACCTTATCCTTTGGTGCCTTCACAGTGTTTTTTCTCCCGTCCTTCTTTCTTGCAGGCGCCAACAGCACCTCTGACTTGGATCCTGGCCCAGTCCGGCGTCTCGCAAGCCTCTACCCCGCGGGCACAAGTACGACAAGATTTGGCTTGTGAATCTTCAGACTAACACCAGCTACTGGAACAGCGGTTACCTTGGTTGACGGTTACCTTGCCCCAGGGCAGCACGAAACCACCGCACCGCATGGGCCGAGGATGTTTGCGCTTTAAGGGAAGGTAGTCATGGATGGATACCTGGACACGTTGCCCATATCTTTAGAAGTTGCAACGACGGGCCCTGCAATAAAAAGGACGGGGGCTTCCACAATGCCCACGGTCTTGCAATGGCATTTGGAAATTAACATCAAAGCCCGTGGCCTGACCTGAACCTGCTCAGCTCCGATTCCAGCTCCCAGCTCCAGTTCCAGTGCCCCTAAGCGCGTCCCTTCCGTCCGGCCTCCAAGGCGTACGGCATCGTCTTGGTAACAGACACGAATCAGAAGATACCTCGCCTCACGCCTGGTTTTTGCCATCCGGCGTTGTACCTCTGGATTCTTGCCTCCCACCGGTGGATAACATTGCTAACTCGACAAACGGCGAGGCCCATCAAAAAAATCCAACTGCAGTCACATCGGGCACCCCCCTGCCATGCGATTGCATTTGCATCTGTCCCTCCTCTCCTGGGCCCTCCAAATCCCCTTGCACCGTGCCCTGCTGCCCTGCAAACCCCCGCGACGACCATCAGCGGCCTCTCCAGTTCGTCCCCAACAAAAACGGAGGCGTGGGAACCGAGGGACAACTCCAGCAGCTGTGATTCTGTATCTGTACGCAGGTGGCAGCCACCCAGCCAGCACACGCAACGTTGGATACCTTATTACAACACCTATCCGTACAGCAGGCACACCGCACAGCAAGGTAAGGTAGGTACGGCACAGCATACCTAAGGTACCTAGCATAGCACAGCTTAGGTTGCCTACCTTACCTCAGGTCACTAGGTACGGGCAGAGTACAGATACCTCTCTGTCATGGAAGGGGAAGCCATACATCCAAGTACCTTACCTACCTTCCCGCTCCACGCAATACCCGTTGCGGTACCTGACCGGCCCTTGTTGGTCTTGGCACTTGCACCAACAGCACAAGAACGAGAGACAAGACACACAGACAGCCAGACGCACACCAAGCACTTGACAACGGGTCCCGTCCCGAGCCATCGTTTGCTAACTATTTTGTCTTTTTCGCCTCCGCTGTAACCCGATACCGACACATCTTTTTCCCCCCCGTCCCTTTTCTCCACGGGCAGTGTGTGCTTCATTTATTAGTCCCCTCCCCTTCACTCTCATCCCACCTCTGCTCCCCTTCCTTCGATTCTCAATTGGTATCCCTTTTACCTTCAAGGGCCATTGGAACTCTGCTCCCCCGTTCCTCT